GTGATCCTGGAGGGCCCAGCCTGCTGTTGCTACCTTAGTGCATGAAGCCATACACTGGCCACTTCGACAGCACTCAGGAGAGATTCAGCTACTGGCTCAGAAGATGTAGAGTGCCAGTTGAATGTGCTTCAGGTCGATTGGAGGGATGCTGGGGTTGTTTACTCACAAGATTTGACCTCAGTGAGAAAAATATTCTAGTGGTTATAACTGCTGTGTCCTGCGTAATATTTGGTAAGCAAAGGGAGAAGTGTCTGTTGGGGTGATGGTGGAGCAGCTGCCTGCTGAGTTTGAACAGCCAGACATGAGGGCAATTAAAAGCGCTCAACGCGGAGATATACAATGCATGGAGTCTTTGACATGCTGCTTTAACAGTGAGCCATGGTAATGTGTTTTTTGTTGTAAAGTGCTCTACCTGGCCCTGCTGTTCTTTGGGGCCTGGTAGGAGTTATGTGGTGCTTGATGTACATGTCTGAATATAAAACTGTCAGTGCACCTATTTAATTTTGTTTGAGAGTGGTCCTATCTATGAGTTGTGTGACACTGTGTATTAATAGGTAATTGGTTGCTTTCAGATCTGCTAAGCACTTGGCAGAATATGTTGTGAATTAATAAAGATGAATTATGTTCCAAATTATAGCGTTTTTTTTGTAAAAATATTCAGTGCCAAAATAATTGTGCAATTTTACAACAAATACATTAATACAACTGATGAAGGGGAAAGTACATTGATATCCATTTCAGCTACACATACACTGGCCTTTGAAAGCCATAGTTGATATATGTGAAGCTATGATTGTCTTTAATATCCCCTGGGGTGCAGTAGTAGGGTAATGCCGTGGCCCAATGCCATAGGGAATGTTAGGGGTGTGTGTGGAGAAGTCCGGAAAAGAGTTCTCAGTGGGCTGCAGAGGGAGCCTGGTGAACCTGTAGACCCACAAGAGTCTGCATTGTCTGTGTTTGCTGCCTGAGAAACCCCATTATGTCCTGGTGCATCTCCCTCTCTGTCCTGGGCCTTTCTCCTCTCCAGTCTTTACTTTTCTAGGCTGTCTGCAATGTTTAAATAGTTTTGATTTAAATCTATCCATCCTCTCAAGATTATATTGCAGAGTAGTTAGATTGGAGATTTTTTGTGTAAGTGCCGCATTAATGGTAAAGTTTTATCTGTTCATTGTTGCATGATACTGCATACACATGATATACATTTTGCTAAAGAGAAAAAGTTTCTGTAACTGAAAGCTTAATTGTACCTGAACTTTGTAACAACAAAGGGTATATAAGCCTCAAGTATTAGTCCGATGTACATCATCATGTAGCTGAATTGAAAATAGAAGTGACAGTTTCATAACATTTTAATTAGCTGCGGAAATGGTATAAGTGACAGAACTTGTCTGTTCTTCTAAAGGTTTTCTGTAGCATCCATCACCATATTATGTAAGTACTTGTCACTTTTTGATTTGTATATTTAACTTTATGTAACACATCGCACTGCAGAGTGTAGGACTGAATTCCTTGCCCCATTGATGTCAATGGGAGTTTTGTCAACGACTTACATGAATTCAGGATTTTGCCATATGAACCAAATAGTCCAAATCTGGAGAAATGCTGTACACATGAATTCTTTTCTTGGCAGTGGTAGGTGCAGGTACTTAGCACCTCTCCAAATTTGAGCTTTAACTTCTAGCTTTCGGTGAAGTATAAAAAGTTATAGGAAACAAAAGAGAAACAGGAGAATCTGAGTCACTTTCTTGCATATTAACATACACTTGCTGATATGGTATGTCTGCAAATACAGAACTAGAACAAAATTTTTCACATAGTTTATTTTCTGAGACTCAGGTTCTCTGAACTGTTTGCTTTTTGACTTAATGTAAAACTCAAGTGTACATTTTGAAAGTGAGCTGAATATGTTAATGGTTGTAAAGAAATTTAATTCAGTTTCTCTGCTGTTTTATTCAGAGTAAATATTATGCTCTAGAAGGCATAGGACCACAGAATGTATAGGTGTAAGGACTGGAATGATGCTGAGACCATTTGCCATCTTTAATTTTTGAAATAAAATACTTTTTAAAAATAGTGGACTACCATGTTGTACAGTATGCGGTTTATACCATATGTAATAAACACTTGAAAAGTTCATAATCAAAACTGAAATAATTGACTTCCTAGAATAGTTTAACAAGCACTCCAGATTCTCATGCAAATGTCAAACTTGCATAATTGAATTTTGCCAGCTTTATTATAATGTTTATAGCACAACATATTGTATATGCAGTTTATTACTATAAACATTAAACAGATTTGTCAACAAGTGATGGCAATAGAATTGTAATTAGATCTGTTTATGAAATTAATTATACTGATAAAGAGAACTTGGATGTTTTCCTCACTGCTAATTGACAAGTTGATCAACTGTGCATGTTGCTTCACTGAATTCTATTGGTAAAAGAAATTCAATCTAGATATAGTGTTTTAGTTAAGTTCTTCATATTAATAGTGAGTCCAAAAGCTGTTAGTTAAAAGTTGAGGGCGCATACTAATAGTGTGATTTATTCTGAAATGAGTTGTGATGTGTCATAGAGGTATAATTTATGGAAAACAATTACATATTTGAGTTAGAGATGAAAGGAATAAATTTGTCCTTTGTAGTAGTGTTTGAGGGTGTTTTAGTACTGAGGGTCTCTGCAGCAATGTGGTTGTGATGATTAACACAAATATGTTCAACTGTGTGCTTTTGGTTGTCATGGTGCATTGGGTTGATAGCTGCGCATGTATATATAATTTGCATATAGCAAAATATTGGTAGTGTGGCAGTTCTGTATATGGAAACTATCAAAAGAATGTTAGGTATTTTGATTTCTATGTTGTTTTGCGAAGGTGTTCTCCTTTTCCAAGAGATGTTATATACAGTGAATATAACAGTTACAAAAATTAAAAACAAATGCCTTCTGGTTTTATGTTGCCAGCGGAATACAGTCATTCTCTGGTTGAAGCATAAGAGTATGTCTGTGCTATGGAGGCTTTACTGGCATAGGTCGGCTGCCATAGCTATGCTGGCATAATCCCATAGCGCAGATGCAGCCTATATTGACCCAAGATATTTTTCCATTGGTTTTGGAACACTGCCTCCCTGTGTAATGATACCTATGTTGACAGATTTCAGAGTAACAGCCGTACACTTTCCACAGTATGCATCCGATGAAGTGAGCTGTAGCTCACGAAAGCTTATGCTCAAATAAATTGGTTAATCTCTAAGGTGCCACAAGTACTCCTTTTCTTTTTATGTTGACAGAAGCATTCTTTCATCGATAAACTTGCCTCTACACTGGGGTTAGTTCAAAATAGATAAGAAGCTCAGGGCTGTGGGATTTTTAGTACCCCTGACTGACATAGTTATGCTGACCTAATTTAAGTACCAAGGTGCTGCTGCTACTTTCGACAAACACAGCATCTAACGATTGTGACCCTGAGAAAAGTACTACAGAGGTATTCAGTTAAGAATGTGGACTCTGCAGAGTAGGAGTTCTATGCAAAGTGTAACTCGAACAATTTAATTTTTGGAGAGTAGCAATTCATTTGATCCTGATGTAGAAGGTGAAGTAGTTAGCATAGGTGTCTAAGATAAAGAGTTGACTAGTGAGGGTGTGGAGATGTACATGATTTCTGTTTGGTACACAGAATGCAAAGGGTTCATCTTGATCACTTTATAGCCTGAGAACTCTGTTCCTCCTACATGGAAAAAATAGGTAAGTAATTGGAAAATTTGTTTTATTACCTGAAAACAAATGATCTTCTAAAACAGTTGTGCACAATTGCTGTCTTTGCAAAGCTGGGAAATGTGTTTCCACAGTCTGAATTTTTCTGGTTGGAGGCGAAGGGTTTTATTGATAGCTTTAGCACAAGCTTTGTTTATCCGTAAGATAGTGCTTTAAAAAAATGCATTATAATGGTCATGACCATTGAACTTTAAGTGGCAAAATAATTTTCAGAAACTGTTTAAAAATATTACAACCTCAAACTGCTAGAAATGCAAATGTTGTTTTGTGGGTTTTTTAAGTACTTTGAATTATGCAACCATAGTAGTTGACTCTTAGAGATTAATTATCATTTACTTAAGTATTGATAGTATGCTTGCCTCTGTACAAGACACTACTATTATAAAGGGAGTGTCACAAGTATCAAAACACTTGCTGCCTTGGAGAGGTTATATTCTAAAGCTCTGATCTTGAAATAAACACTGTATGGGTGAAGCTCTCTGCTTTCATGGAGCTTATTGCAGCATCTTGGCCTGAAAGAAAGACACATAAGACGGAACACTGGAGATGCACAGGAAAGTGCCCACTATAGTTAGTTTAAAGGGTCTTTAGGGGAGATTTGAATAAAGAATTCAGATCTGTAAACCGGAGTCTTTGGTTAGATCATTTTCAGTTGGATTTTTCTAGTGTGAAGGAAAGTTAATCTCCAGCTTCAAAAGAAGATAATGTGGAGGAAAAGTGATTTGGGAGACTTTGTAGGTATTGAATATTGTAGTAGGAAGTGGTGAAGCAGATTGAACATTGTGTGCATAGATTTGTCGTGTTTGTATACTTTTGTTATATGCCATCAAATTATTGTAATTTTTCCCACATATTAGAAGGCAGCAGCTGCTAAGTTTTCATATACTCCTGTTAGGCTATACCTTTGAAAAGCAATCAGCCAAATCTTGCAGTTCTTAATCAAGACTTATTCACACAAAAGCCCACTAAAGTCATTTGGAGTTTTTGCCATATTTGATCATCAGTAAGAAGAGCAGAATTTGGCCCGATGTAAGAATTAAAAGAATTCTCAGGGTTAGTCTTTTTTTAACTATCTGCCTAAAGTTTTAGTGGTGCAAAAAGGGGTGAATTTGTCATTGATCTAAAATGCAATTGTGAATACTTAATTTCTGGTATTATTAACAAGCAGTGATCTTACAGTGTGCTGTTAAATCACTGTATGAATTTTCCCTTTTTCTTTTCCTTCAGGAAAGGAGACTGAAAAAGCCAAAGATCGTTATGATAAAGCCACTATGAAACTTCACATGCTGCATAATCAGTATGTGTTGGCACTGAAGGGAGCACAGTCACATCAGCACCAGTACTATGACACTACGCTTCCTCTGTTACTTGATTCATTACAGAAGATGCAAGAAGAAATGGTTAAAGCACTGTGAGATAATCTTTTCCTTTTTGCTTTTGCTTTGTAATATGATGTCAATTTTATTTAATATCCCATTTAATTTTTATTTTAGTCCTGTTAGAAAATAATAAACCAATGTTATTTATTACCAAATGGAATGGCCAAGAAAAGTCGTCATTTGTTCTGGTGGCAGTTTTCTATAGAAAGTCCATTCAAATAAATGGGACTTCATGTTTTTCAGGCTTAAGGGACTATGTGGACATGTCAAAGACAGGGCATTTCCTCCTATAAACTTCTAACATTATTAGTTGGTTTGAGTAAATTCTCAATCTTCATTTTTAAAACTTTGAAATGAATCATTTAATTTAAACTCATATTTGCTAATCCTGCAGATGACCCTAATTTTGTTTTGTGATTTTTCCCTTTTCATCTTAGTCACAGACAGCAGTGTCAATTGCTGAGCACAGTGATTTGATGTCTATGTACTGTTTCTATCTACTTCATCGCTGCCCAGATTTCTCTCGATCTCATCTGGGATCACATGAAGTAGGAGTGGTTCTTTAATTCAGTCAGTTTACATCTGCTCAAATGAGCAATAGAAAGGCAAAATATACCCCAGATGTTAGGCCTCACTCATTTCAACTTATGTGAGACAGTCTTGTTCAACCTCCATGGACTCTGAGCAATGAGAAAGTGACACGTCTGGTTCCCTAGGGACTTCTGCTCCAGTTTTCATAGAATCATAGAATCATAGAATATAAGGGTTGGAAGGGACCCCAGAAGGTCATCTAGTCCAACCCCCTGCTCAAAGCAGGACCAATTCCCAGTTAAATCATCCCAGCCAGGGCTTTGTCAAGCCTGACCTTAAAAACCTCTAAGGAAGGAGATTCTACCACCTCCCTAGGTAACGCATTCCAGTGTTTCACCACCCTCATAGTGAAAAAGTTTTTCCTAATATCCAATCTAAACCTCCCCCACTGCAGCTTGAGACCATTACTCCTCGTTCTGTCATCTGATACCATTGAGAACAGTCTAGAGCCATCCTCTTTGGAACCCCCTTTCAGGTAGTTGAAAACAGCTATCAAATCCCCCCTCATTCTTCTCTTCTGCAGGCTAAACAATCCCAGCTCCCTCAGCCTCTCCTCATAACTCATGTGTTCCAGACCCCTAATCATTTTTGTTGCCCTTCGCTGGACTCTCTCCAATTTATCCACATCCTTCTTGAAGTGTGGGGCCCAAAACTGGACACAGTACTCCAGATGAGGCCTCACCAATGTTGAATAGAGGGGAACGATCACGTCCCTCGATCTGCTCGCTATGCCCCTACTTATACATCCCAAAATGCCATTGGCCTTCTTGGCAACAAGGGCACACTGCTGACTCATATCCAGCTTCTCGTCCACTGTCACCCCTAGGTCCTTTTCTGCAGAACTGCTGCCTAGCCATTCAGTCCCTAGTCTGTAGCTGTGCATTGGGTTCTTCCGTCCTAAGTGCAGGACCCTGCACTTATCCTTATTGAACCTCATCAGATTTCTTTTGGCCCAATCCTCCAATTTGTCTAGGTCCTTCTGTATCCTATCCCTCCCCTCCAGTGTATCTACCACTCCTCCCAGTTTAGTATCATCCGCAAATTTGCTGAGAGTGCAATCCACACCATCCTCCAGATCATTTATGAAGATATTGAACAAAACCGGCCCCAGGACCGACCCTTGGGGCACTCCACTTGATAACGGCTGCCAACTAGACATGGAGCCATTGATCACTACCCGTTGAGCCCGACAATCTAGCCAGCTTTCTACCCACCTTGTAGTGCATTCATCCAGCCCATACTTCCTTAACTTGCTGACAAGAATACTGTGGGAGACCGTGTCAAAAGCTTTGCTAAAGTCAAGAAACAATACATCCACTGCTTTCCCTTCATCCACAGAACCAGTAATCTCATCATAGAAGGCGATTAGATTAGTCAGGCATGACCTTCCCTTGGTGAATCCATGCTGGCTGTTCCTGATCACTTTCCTTTCATGCAAGTGCTTCAGGATTGATTCTTTGAGGACCTGCTCCATGATTTTTCCAGGGACTGAAGTGAGGCTGACTGGCCTGTAGTTCCCAGGATCCTCCTTCTTCCCTTTTTTTAAAGATTGGCACTACATTAGCCTTTTTCCAGTCATCCGGGACTTCCCCGGTTCGCCACGAGTTTTCAAAGATAATGGCCAATGGCTCTGCAATCACAGCCACCAGTTCCTTCAGCACTCTCGGATGCAACTCGTCCGGCCCCATGGACTTGTGCACGTCCAGCTTTTCTAAAAAGTCCCTAACCACCTCTATCTCCACAGAGGGCTGGCCATCTCTTCCCCATTTTGTGATGCCCAGCGTAGCAGTCTGGGAGCTGACCTTGTTAGTGAAAACAGAGGCAAAAAAAGCATTGAGTACATTAGCTTTTTCCACATCCTCTGTCACTAGTTTGCCTCCCTCATTCAGTAAGGGGCCCACACATTCCGTGGCTTTCTTCTTGTTGCCAACATACCTGAAGAAACCCTTCTTGTTACTCTTGACATCTCTGGCTAGCTGCAGCTCCAGGTGCGATTTGGCCCTCCTAATAACATTCCTACATGCCCTAGCAATATTTTTATACTCTTCCCTGGTCATATGTCCAACCTTCCACTTCTTGTAAGCTTCTTTTTTATGTTTAAGATCCGCTAAGATTTCACCATTAAGCCAAGCTGGTCGCCTGCCATATTTACTATTCTTTCGACTCATCGGGATGGTTTGTCCCTGTAACCTCAACAGGGATTCCTTGAAATACAGCCAGCTCTCCTGAGCCTCTTTCTCTTTTCAGAAAGAGGCTTGACCTGCAGGACACCAGATTCTGATGAGAATCTTTTCTCTAGCCCTTATGCCTCCTGGTATGCCCCTAGGTTCCTGGGATGCAATAGACTTGGTCTGGACGCACTGGTTAGTGTAACAAGTAGTATATAAATTCCTTTAAATGTAAAATTCCGCCCAAAACTTTTTCCCATTGACTTCTTTGATCCTGGCCCGGAAGCCATTCTCACTGGTGCTTATAGTGTGTTTGTTTTGTTTGGCAAAAACAAAAAAACAACTAACAGCTGGTGGGGTGAGTCACAAGGACAAGTTTGAGGAATTTGGTGTTGGGGTTAGCGAGGAGAGCAGCTAATAGAATAGCAAAAGAAGGAAGAAGCCACCTGAAAAAAGTACCTGTTCTCAAGGACCATGGAGAGGACACTGTGGGATCCTTTAATTCTTGAAAAAAGAAAAGGAGTACTTGTGGCACCTTAGAGACTAACGAATTTATTTGTCTCTAAGGTGCCACAAGTACTCCTTTTCTTTTTGCGAATACAGACTAACACGGCTGTTCCTCTGAAACCTTTAATTCTTGACAAGTTCTGAGCTTAAACTGCTTGCACGAAACAACTTGCTCCTTGATCATCATCTTTCCTATTCCTTGCTAATGTCTGACTAGAAAGAGAGGAATAGGTGAGGGCAAATTGCTGCTTCCTTAACTTGGTACAATAGAATTCTATGATCTCTGTAGGAAAGGAGGCAGGAAAAATCCAATTCTTGTCAGTGGTACCAGCCTGGGGCCGTTTGGGGTATGTCTACACTGCAGTTAGACACCAGTGGCTGGCCCATGCCAGCTGACTTGGGCTGTTTACCTGTGGTGTAGACAAAGGCTCAGACTGGAGCCCAGGCTCTAGGACCCTGCAAAGTAGGAGGGTCCCAGGGCTCAGGCTGCAGGCCAGGCTCAGAAGTCTACATTGCAATTAAACAGCCCTGCAGCCTGAGCCCTGTGAGCCTGAGTCAGCTGACATGGGCCAGCTGCCAGTGTCTAATTGCAGTGGGGGCATACCCGCTCCTTTCTCTCCCTGGGTCTTGTGGGAAGGTTAGCCATCTGACCCAAATTAGCTAGCTACTGTTTGAGTTGTACTTCTCCATCAGCTGCTGGGAGTTTCTTCCACCTGGCTGCTCAGGATTTATCTACAGAGACCATGGAGAAATCGTTTTCTTAGTTATCCTAGTGTTTCAGATGCCTTCTGTTGTGACACTCTGTCATCAGTTTTTGCACTCAATCAGGTAATGGAGGCAAGTGCTGAGAAACAACACGTACCATGTACATTTCAAGTTTTAAAAAAATCCCTGATTGGGGTTCTTTCTTTAGAGACCTGAGAATTGAAAAGTTCAGTAGTGGGTAAAATATGTACTTACCCCAATTGAGATACTATTAGGAAAAGTTAATCTAAAAATGACACTGCAGGGTTTCATGTTGATTCTATCAGTAACTCCATATCAAATGTGGGATTTTCAGAAGCACTGAGTATTGGCCTACCTCTGCTCCCATTGAGAATAAGACCAACATTGAGTGCTTTTGAAAATCCCTCCCAAAGTGTGCATAATTTACATGTACACAAGTTGGATTTTCTAATTGCCAGCCCTGCAGACACAATCTCTATAGAGTTTTTGAGAATCAGGCCAAGTTCTTAACTTAATCATCACCAGTAATAGAGTGTTTGGGCCACTTTAGGCCCTTAGTTACACCAGTGCGTAGTCCCAGTCGCATCAGTGGAGGTCCATAGCTGTAAATGATTGTAATTTAATATTGTTGTTTGCAGTGTTGTTTTAGTTGGGTTGGTCCCATGATATTAGAGAGACAAGATGGGTGAGGTAATATCATTTATTGGTCAACTTCATTTGTTGGAAGAGAAGCTTTCAAGACCTGAAGAAGAGTTCTGTGTAAGCTTGAAAGCTTTGTGTCTCTCCCCAACAGAAGTTGGACCGATAAAAGATATTACCTCACCCATTTCATCTCTGCAATTTTAATAAATAGTTCTATTGATGCACAAGTTGGAATAGAATCCAACATTTTCTCTGATCTGCAGGACCAACAAGAGTATAAAGCAATAAAAATGTAGTTTTGTCACTAAGTGGACCTGGATATCTGAATATACACAGGATCAGCTCTCTTAAGTAAAAAGGTGCCATTTATAAATTATCACCTTATTAGTAGAATACTCTTTGTAAAGTGGCTTTTCACTGGAACACTGCTACTATTGGATAACATTGAATCTAAGATAGAACCAAAGCTGATGTTTCAGGGAATTTCAGGCTAGGATCTGGGTGGTTTTAGTGTGGGGGAGATGGGACACCTTCATGAGGTATGGTTGAACAATCCTGGTTTTATGGACTGGTAGCCCTGTAGTGAATTGGTAAAATGTAGTATAGCTCCAACTTGATAACAGAATGGAAGAAAATGCCTAGAACTGAAGGGAAGAAAATTTGTATCACAGAAACTAGTATAGAAAATAGGCAATTAACCCATTCTACAAATATAATTTTTTAAGACATGTATAAATATTTGCTTTCCTGAATGCCCACTTCTTTTTACATTAATCTCAAATCATGTACCTTGTATTTTAAAATTTTTTCGACTATATTCCAATGTTAGATTGAGCTTTAATTTTTTTCTTGCCTCCACTGTTTACTCAAATAGCGAGGAAATCCGGGCAAGCAACATTTTTGGGGTTCATTAAGCATCTACTTGAAAAATGATTACAAGGAAAATAGATTAATGTTCCTTCTACTCTAATGTGCACTCTACTCTGGTTGGTCAATAGTGATCAATATTAAAAAATTTTTTTGTCTTCTTTCAGAACACAATGAGATAGCTGAAGTTAATATTGAAAGTGTAAAAAGGTAAAATAGAAAATAGAAAATGGCTAAGGAATGCCAAAAATTAAATATTCCTGCTGTTGGGTTTTTTGGTTGGTACATATAAGAACAGCCATATTGGGTCAGACCAAAGGTCCATCTAGCCCAGTATCCAATCTTCCGACAGTGGCCAATGCCGGGTGTGCCATGGGAATGAACAGAACAGATAATCATCAAGTGATCCATTCCCTGTCACTCATTCTCAGCTTCTGGCCATTGATGGACCTATCTTCCTTGAACTTATCTAGTTCTTTTATGAACCCTGTTGTTGTCTTGACCTTCACAACATCCTCTGGCAAAGAGTTCCACAGCTTGACTGTGCGCTGTGTGGAGAAATACTTCATTTTGTTTGTTTTAAACCTGCTGCCTATTAATTTCATTTGGTGACCCCCTAGTTCATGTGTTATGAGAAGAAGTAAATAACACTTCCTTATTTACTGTTGTATATATGTTGAATGTGACATGAGCATACGTGTGCTTCTTCTGGTGCGTAGAGTATTCAGAGAGCAGATTATTTGATTAGTTAAAATGATAGAGAGCAAAAGGTCCCATGGGTCACATGCACACTGGCCTGTAATATGGAGACTAACTGTACACTAATTTGTTATCTTAGATTAAAGTAGCTCATTCTTTATTAAACTAATGAGTCAGTGTTGCAGCTCTACATTTTGATGTTAAAATTATCAGTGGGGGGTTCAGATGAAGTACTGCTGCAATTGTTCCTTGGTAGTGATATATGGTGTCATGAGTAACTAATGGTGCTGCCTGTGTTAGTTGTTCCTTAATTTGTCTGTTATCTGTTTGGAGGCACGGCGGTGGTGGTAGGGAATATGCTCCCAGAGCCCTCCCTCTCGCAGAATCCCTTTGATGGAGGGACCATAATTTGGTTCTTTATTTTTTCCAATAATGTACAGTCTGATTCCTCTCTCTCACATTGATCAAACTGGACAGTCTCTACATAGAAGAATAAATGGACACAAATCAGATGTCAAGAATTATAACATTCAAAAACCAGTCGGGGAACACTTCAGTCTCTCTAGTCGCTCGATTATAGACCTAAAAGTGGCAATTCTTCAGCAAAAAAACTTCAAAAACGGACTCCGAGAGACTGCTGAATTGGAATTAATTTGCAAACTGGACACCGTTACATTAGGCTTGAATAAAGACTGGGAGTGGATCTGTCATTACAGAAAGTAAAATTATTTCCCAATGTTTATTTCCCCCCCCACCTTCCTCATAAGTTCTTGTCAACTGCTGGAAATAACCCACCTTGATTATCACTACAAAAGGTTTTCTTTTTTTTTCCCCCTCTCCTGCTGGTAATAGCTCACCTTACCTGTTCACTCTCGTTAAAGTGTGTATGGTAATACCCATTGTTTCATGTTCTCTGTGTATATAAAATCTTCTCACTGTATTTTCCACTGCATGCATCCGATGAAGTGAGCTGTAGCTCACGAAAGCTTATGCTCAAATAAATTTGTTAGTCTCTAAGGTGGCACAAGTACTCCTTTTCTCTCTCTCTTTAGCCAGCTGGAGCAGCCATTTGTAGGAACAACTAATTGCAAGGCATTCAACTCTGTTTGTTATCATAGTTTAATTTTACATCTGTTACTACAGAGATGTAACTTAAAAATGTAGTAGCAGAACAGAATAAGAATATTAACAATATACAGAGTTTTGAAATATTAGTAAAATCGTTGTATGAAGAATGAAAACTAGGAACAAGAACAAAAAAGTTTTCCCCTTTTTGTTGAGTTCGGGGTTAAAATTCTTAAAACTAAGTGCTTTAGTGTATTAAAGACTGCCAAGTATTATGAAGATTTACACTAAAGGTCTAGAAAAAATAAGAAATTATCTGAATTTGTTTGTTCTTTTAGTTTGTAAATTAAGATTTTCTGAAATATATATTCATGAAAACATGTTGTACATTAGGTATGCTTTTGGAATTATTTTGGAGGACTTCTATGGCCTGTGTTACGCAGGGGGTTAGACTAGATGATCATAATGGTCCCTTCGGGCCTTTGAATCTATGAATTATTGTATTTTTTCCCCCACAGAAAAGGAATCCTTGATGAATACAGTCAGATCACCAGTCTTGTAACAGAAGAGATAGTGAATGTCCATAAAGAGATCCAGACTTCTGTTGAACAGATAGACCCTAACTCAGAGTACAATAGCTTCATAGAAGCTCACAGGTATAAGCTTTCCATTCTAGTCCTTTTATTCATTTTTACCTCGCAAGAAGAAATTATATTCTGTGTTAAGCCTTAATACTGAAAATTGGTATATGCTTAGTTTGTTTTCAGTTGGGTTCCTTTAAATTGTTACTTGACTGTAATGCTTCATCCTTATTTGTAAGATTGTCTGACCTGTTTATCTCCATCTTTGTAAACTGTCCAAGGACTTCGTTAAATAATAAACAAGTCTTAAACTCAGCAATAAGATTTTTAAAAAAGAAAATACTAAACTCTGATAATTACTGATAAAGATATGTAGGCAGATACAATTGTGGGACCTAGAAATTCTGAGTCACAGCATTAGCTATGTGCTATGTAATTTCAAGCAAAGTTTGTTTTAAGAATAAGTTTTATTTGTTCTTTATGGGTCTGATCTTGCACATTTGTCACTCGGATAAGTAGTCCCAGTGAGTTCTTGGAATTATGTGCATGCATTTTTATCTCAGTTACTAATATATAGATTAATATTCATATTATTAGTTAGTCCTAAACTTGCAACTGGATCAGTTATTATGTATCCATACACCCATATGGTGGTCCATTAAAAGCCTTAGTTATGTAATAACCTTAATCCAAGGAAATGTCTTCCATTTTGTGTTTTGTTGTGTTTTTTAAAACTGCACTCTTATTTTGAAGGAAAGCTATCATGTTGCCTGTCTTCAATCTGCTTTTGTTTTCCGTATGATTAAAATATGCTTTTTATTGACATAATCATTTTGGAAAGGAACAAATAGTTAGCTTCTGAGCTACACTTAGCGTCTCTGTGTGTGTATATACTGTGTAATATAAATCTTAAATTATTTTGTATACTTAACAGGTCACCAGAGAATGTAGAACAAGAAATAGTGTTTGATATATCTTTACTGGAAGAAAACGAAAATCTTCAAGCTAATGAGATAATGTGGAATAACTTAACAGCAGAAAGCTTGCAAGGAATGTAAGTATGTCTCAAAAAATGTGGCATCCTTTTTGACTGTATAATAAGATTCCAGAAATGACACTTTGTGTCACTGTGAAGCCTGGAATGTCTGAGTCATTGTGAAGTGATGGAAACAGCTACAAGCATGGCTGAGAGTTTTTTGTTCAAAATATCACCAGATTGCATCATCACTGGGTTTCGCAGTCTGTTACTGTCCAGTTTTTAACTTCTTAACTATTTTGACTTTATGAATTACACCTGTGCGGTATACAGCTACAGTAAGGCATGTATCTATACTATCCCAAGAGTCCTAAACCATTGTAATATTAGAGGTAACTCAACCAATTACTCTACAGCTAATTTGCATACAACAATTTCATCGGTTGTATGAGGGAGAATGGATTATTTGGCTCAGATGCCACACTGGAGCAGCTCATATAATTCTCCCAGCACAATAACACCTACACACACAACCATTATTTATACACATTAACCCCAAACACACATAGCCCATCACTGCAGCACGCACACTCATTTGCCACCTTCACAAATTAACACACATTTTCCAGGATATTTCCTCCAGACACAAATCAACACAAGCAGCACAGACAATCACCCATAACATCACTGTGAAGCCTAAAATGTCTGTTAAGTTACTGTGAAGCGATGGAGACAGCTACAAGCATGACTTGAGAGCTCTTTTTATTTGGATTATAATCAGGTTAAATCTTCATCTAGAAGATACTAAGGTGATAAGTAATAGCATGGATTTGTCAAGAACAAATCATATCAAACCAACCTAGCAGCTTTCTTTGACAGAGTAACAAGCCTTGTGGATAAGGGGGAAGCGGCAGATGTGGCATAGCTTGACTTGAGTAAGGCTTTTGATACTGTTTTGTGTGACCTCCATAAACAAACTAGGAAATGCAACCTGGATGGAGCTACTGTAAGGTGGATGCACACTGGTTCGAAAACCGTTGCAGGACAGTATTCATCAATGGTTCACAGTCAAGCTGGAAGGGCATATCAAGTGGGGTCGTGCAGGGATCAGTCCTGGGTCCGGTTGTGTTCAATATCTTCATTGATGATTTAGACTATAAGCGTACACACTCTATACCATTAAGTTTGTGGATGATACCAAGCTGGGAGGCGTTGAAAGTGCTTTGGAAGATAGTATTAAAATTCAAAATGATCTGGACAGACTGGTCTCAAGTAAATCGGATGAAATTCAATAAGGACAAATGCAAACTACTCCACTTAGGAAAGAACAATCAGTTGCACACATGCAAAATGGGAAATGAGTACCTAGGAAGAAGTCCTGCAAAAAGGGATCTGGGCTCAGAGTGAATCAGAAGCTAAATATGAGTCAACAGTGTAACACTGTTGCAGAAAAAGCAATCATCATTCTGGGATGTATTAAGAGGAGTGTTGTAAGCAAGACACAAGAAACAGTTCTTCTGCTCTACTCTGCCCTGGTTAGGCCTCAACTGGAGTATTGTGTCCAGTTCTGGGTGCCATATTTCAGGAAAGTTGTGGACAAATTGGAGAAAGTCCAAAGAAGAGCAACAAAAATGATTAAAGGTCTAGAAAACATGACCTATGAGGGAAGATTGAAAAAATTAGGTTTGTTTAATCTGGAGGAGACTGAGAGGGGACATAAAAGGTTGTTATAAGGAGGTGGGAGAAACATTGTTCTCTTTAACCTCTGAGGATAGGAGAAAAAGCAATAGGCTTATATTTCAGCAGGGGTGATTGAGGTTGGACATTAAGAAAAACTTCCTAATTGTCAGGATAGTTAAGTACTGGAATAAATTGCCTATGGAGGTTGTGGAATCTCTGTATGATCTGCTCTTAAAACACTCCAATGATGAATACCTATCGGGGATGGTAGGTGTCATAAATATAAAGGGAAGGGTAAACCCCTTTGAAATCCCTCCTGGCCAGGGGAAAGCTCCTCTCACCTGTAAAGGGTTAAGAAGCTAAAGGTAACCTCGCTGGCACCTGACCAAAATGACCAATGAGGAGACAAGATACTTTCAAAAGCTGGGAGGAGGGAGAGGAACAAAGGGTCTGGGTCTGTCTGTATGCTGCTCTTGCCAGAGACAGAACAGGAATGGAGTCTTAGAACTTTTAGTAAGTAATCTAGCTAGGTATGTGTTAGATTATGATTCCTTTAAATGGCTGAGAAAAGCATTGTGCTGAATAGAATAACTATTTCTGTCTGTGCATCTTTTTTGTAACTTAAGGTTTTGCCTAGAGGGGTTCTCTATGTTTTTGAATCTAATTACCCTGTAAGATATCTACCATCCTGATTTTACAGGGGGGGGATTTCTTTATTTCTATTTACTTCTATTTTTTATTAAAAGTCTTCTTGTAAAAACTGAATGCTTTTCATTGTTCTCAGATCCAAGGGTTTGGGTCTGTGGTCACCTATGCAAATTGGTGAGGCTTTTTATCCAACATTTCCCAGGAAAGGGGGGGTGCAAGTGTTGGGAGGATTGTTCATTGTTCTTAAGATCCAAGGGTCTGGGTCTGTAGTCACCTAGGCAAATTGGTGAGGCTTTTTACCAAACCTTGTCCAGGAAGTGGGGTGCAAGGTTTTGGGAAGTATTTTGGGGGGAAAGACGCGTCCAAACAGCTCTTCCCCAGTAACCAGTATTAGTTTGGTGGTGGTAGCGGCCATTCCAAGGATAACGGGTGTAATATTTTGTACCTTGGGGAAGTTTTGACCTAAGCTGGTAAAGATAAGCTTAGGGGGTTTTTTCATGCAGGTCCCCACATCTGTACCCTAGAGTTCAGAGTGGGGGAGGAACCTTGACAGTAGGTAATACTTAGTCCTTCTTTGAGTGCAGGGGACTGGACTAGAAGACTTTTTAAGGTCCCTTCCAGTCCTATGTGTCTGATTCTATGATCACTGAGATTTGTGGTCTGTTACCATCCAGGTTTTAAGTTCTCAGCTGTTTTTAGGTTTTTTTACACACATGACTTTATGAATTACACCCATGTCACAGCATAGGCTTTCAGCTACTAGTTTCAGAAGCTTCGGCTTCTGTTCCCCATACTTCCTCCTCTTTATCCTGGACCTCTGGCTGCCTAACAGGTTTATAAAGAAATTCAAGTTCCGGATGGTGACACTCCCTTTGATTATTCGTTCCGTTTCTCAGGAAGCCTGGTTTGTGCTTTTGATATGAAAGATGCCTATTTCCACATCGACAGTCATCCCCAGAAGTTTCTCCGATTTATGGTTAGTTACTCCCATTATCAGTTCCATGTCCTCCCTTTTGATATTGCAATTGCTCTGTGTAGGCCTTTTGGTATTCTCCTATCTGGATGACTGGCTCCTCGTTGCACCATCCCGCAGGTGCTTCTTACCAGCCACTGTGGCTCTTTGCGGGCCCCTTGCCACTCTTGGGATTTGCATCAATGAGGAGAAGTCAGTTCTCGTACCTACCCACCAGATCACCTTTGTTGGTGCTCGTCTGGACTCCATCGCAGCCCAAGTTTTCCTTCTGGTCGACTGCTTTGCAGCCCTTGCTTCTATCATTACCACCTGGCGCTGCACTCCACGCACCTCCATCCACCATTGACTTTCCCTCCTCGGCCACATGATGGCCTGTACCTCTGTGATGCCTCATGCCACCTACACATACACTGCCTTCAGGTGTGGCTCCTCTCTATCTACAAGCTGCAGACAGGCTGCTTGGACAAACTTGTCCTGCCTCCCACTGTTGTCCTGGCATCCCTTGCATGGTGAACCAACCCAACGAAGGTCCTGGTTGGCACCCCCTTTACAGCTCCCACTCCCCTATGCCACTCTGACCACGGATACCTCCCTCGTTGGCTGGGGCATCCACCTGGTTGCAGTCTCTGGACCTCTCCAGGATGCATATCAACATCCTGGAATTGTGTGCTGCCTGCCTCACCTGTCAGACCTTCCTCCCCCTCATACAATCTTGTCACATTCAACTGCTCTCTAACAACATGGCTGTGGTAGTCTGTCATCAAGTAAGGCAGCACCAAGTCTCCCTCCTTCTGTGTGGAGGCTGTCCACTTCTGGAACTGGTGCATCAAACACAGTGTTACACTCCAGGTGTATATCTCCTGAGTGCCCATAACTCCCTTGTGGACATGCTCAGCAAGTCCTTCTACGCAAAGCACAAGTGGGAGCCTCAGAATCCTACCCTATGCTTTGGTTTCCGCAGGTGGAGCACCCTGCTCTGGGACCTCTTTGTGGTCAGAGAGAACTGCGAACTTCCCTCTTATTGCTCCAGGGGGGTCGTGTGGGCAGGGTTGTGTGGGCAGAATCCTGTGGCAGTGGCCTTCTCCTCCACTGAACTGGCAATCTCTGCTATGCCTTACCACCCATTCCCCTGCTCCCACAAGTTCTGCTCAAGGTTTTACCGGTATTGAGTAGCAGTCAGACTGATAGCCCCATTTGGCCTCGTCAGTATTGGTTCACAGACCTCCTCCGCCTCTCTGCTCATCTCCCGCTCTGCCTCCGTGCACACCCGGATCTCCTTTCACAGATGTATGGATGACTCCGGCACCCCAACTCGTGCCCGTTCTGCCTCACGGGTTGGTGTTTGGGTGGATCTCATGAGTACACAGGTCATGCTCTATCCCAGTGCTTGTCCTCATGCACAGCAGGAGGCTGTCCTCCAGGGCCTGCTATCAAGTGAAATGGAAACGGTTCACCATCTGGGCTCACTGCCACCATTTCCCGCTAGACTTCATATCCATCTCTCTCGTCCTTGACTACCTTCTCCAACTCAAGCTGTTGGGCCTTGTCCACAGTTCCATTTGGATCTACCTGACAGCGCACAGTGCCTTCCTTCCTCCCTCTGGTAGACAGTTCCACTTTGTTCAGTCATCCAACCACTGTTTGTTTCCCCAAAGGTCTACTCAATGCCCTTCCACCACTGCAAGCCATCCCCTTCCTGGGACCTTAATGTCACTCTGCCCTGATCAAGCCTCATGATGTGCTGTCTTTCCTACCTCTCAATGAAGGTGATCTTCTT